AGATGCAAATATGCCAAACACTAAACCATTGTAACATCAGATATTATCACCTAATTAAGACACTGTTTCAGTGTCATTCATTTGGCCACGTACCATCTGTATCTTATTATACCTCCAACTTTGGGGGTTATATACAGTTTGTGGGATCGCACACGATGTACTGTGTGCACGATAAAAAGTTGGATGAACATTGCTTGCGCACTATGGACGAACGTTGTGCGATAGCAATTGTGGTTGTTGTAAATTGAGGAATGCCTTAACAATATATATGGTTTCTTGATTAAACATATAAACCTGGTTTTTACGTATGTTTCTATATTCTAGCAACTTATATAAGCTTATCTTTCTGTCTATAATTTCTCAAATTTAGAAATTGTGTTTTTTCAGTGGTTTTTAAACGACCTTAATCGACACATGTAAAATTACAACACAGTCTTGTATACATGTAAACATATATAGCCACTTTGTACTTGTTTGTACCTGGACTGTAGTTTTTCCACGCCCGGGGCACTTACGTAACTCGTCAAGTAGGGCCGGGGTGTGAAAACCCAGGTGAAGGGGAGCTAAAGGCAAACCAAATCCAAATAACAAATACTCAACGGTTATAGAGTATCACATATCAGCTCTATGTGTCAGGCACAGGCCAGGTAAAAATTGTATATAATCTTAACTATTGTGATGAGAAATTACAGCAATACTTACAGAGTACATTATTGCATACGAGCATTCCATAATATTGATCTACAAATTGTACCAAATCGCACGGTTGTGTGTAGAGAAGCGCACAACTGGGCGAAAGATCGTTAAATCGCACCATGTGTGGACAGTGTGTGAACGATGTATGTACGGTGTGCACACGCTATTTTTGGTGCGTTGTGCGGTCACACAACTACACAATTATAAATATATCATATTCCAACCACAGTAGTGCACACTCAATTTCTATATATATAATTGATTAGATTTTGGTAGACATCCGTTACAGGTAAAGGCCAAAAGTCATACTTTACAACTTTTGAAATAAAAAATCTTGGGTATAAGATACCTCATGAACACCTTGACCTCAATAGTTTTAGAGTAAGTTAAAATGAAAATACCAGTTTGTTTTTTTGTTGGGTTTATCGCCCCGTGAACAGCCAGGGTCATTTTGAGGCAGCTAGGGTATCCTCACTGAATAACATACGGGAGACCTGTCGCATGCCATCCAGAGCAATAAGAGTAAAGTGTCTTGCCAAAAGACAAAACCACGACAACACAGACCGGTCTGTTTCTCAGCTTCCCAAGAAACACAAACCGCCATGTGTTTGGAGCGTCGAACCACGCACCTCAGATCTTCACCTGAGGTTATTTAGGCCAACACTCTAACCAACTGAGCTATCGCTTCCCTCTTTAATAAAATCAAAAATATCAGGGATTGAGGGGTATGTCTACGTTAGCCTATACTCACTTTATTTTTTCATATGCCTATATTTGATCTTATTAGTCTTATGATCACCTAATCCCTCCTTTTTTTCAAATCCTTGAAAAGTCATTTGATTACCTTATACCATTTACTATTCCAGCCTTTGTATATTTTAGAACACTTGCTGTACAATACATTGTACATGATTAAAATTTCGATTGATTGAGTCCATGAATGATCAATCAGTATTGTTTATTTTGAATTATTACAGATGTTGAGGACTTTCCTGACCTAGAGGATGAATCTTTGAAAGGTTGGTAAACATAATATTAAAAAAAATATTGATTTGATTTTGCTTTCACCAAATTAGACCATTTTACTATCAGAAGAAAACCAATTGGTGATCCATTAAATTTCTTCTGTGAAACAGTTATGCAGATTTTCACCAAACTTGGTTATAATGGTCCTATAATCTATACCAGGTTGTGATCAGATTCTACTAAAAAAGAGATTGTGCCCATTAGGGTTGAGAGTACGTTTGGGCCATAAGTATCACTGAGCTAGTGCAAAAAGTCTCAGATTTTGATTGAATTTTATAGCAATTATCAAGTTGTCTTGTTGGAGTTGGGGATAATAATCTGTATGCAAGTTCAAAGGGACTCGCCATGGGTCTTACAAAGGGAGCAATTATTGTTCATCGAGTGAAAATTCTTGAGGGGTACATGAATGTCCAATGGCTTGTTATATCTGGCTACAGCTGCTTTCTTAATGCTTGATTGATGCTTGTTTTTTGCATTGAAAGTCGGGTCATAATATTTACATGACCGCTGAATTCAAAGGTTCTGTATAATGCTGTCTTAATACTCTCATGAAGTTTGGCGCACATGATCAGTAACTAAAGTAAATAAATTGTGCACTGGCAATTTGTATTTCATTTATGATGATTTTCTGATATTAAAGTCATGCCCTTACTGGGATATCCTTGTTGACATGTCGGTAC